TTCTAGGTTGCTTCTCTCCTTGGTTAGTTTCCATCCGTTGCTTCTTGTCCTGACATCGCAAGCCACCCAGAGTCACTTGATAGTCTGATGGGCAGCATATAAATTTAATAAATAAATAGTGGCTGCACAAAATAAGACCCTTTGCCGAAGGAAATGAATTCTTTCTAGCTGTCAAACTTCCTTCTCTTTCCCCCAAAATGTCTTATATTTCTAGCTTAGAAGCATAGGCTTTTCCGACTTGTGTCCCGTAAGATTTTTTTTTTTTTTAACTTACTAATATTTTATCTGTTTTGGTCTGTTTTGCTTATAAGAACCCACTGGACTTGTGACGTTTACCAGACAGTGTCTGCAGGAATTTCCAGAGTGGGAAAGGTAAGTCAAACCAAATCTATCCTTTTTTAAAAAAATATATTCATTTCAATTCGTTGCGGTGAAAACTCAGCCGAGAGTAAGATTGTTGTTCAGTTCAAAATGCAAATTGAAGCAGAGAGAATGGATTTCAACACATGGCAATGGCCACTGTCACAAGTTAAAACTAACATCTTGTTGCCTAATTGGTAAGCAAAGTAGCAACATTTTGAAACCTGGCTTGTTACCAGCCAGGAACAAAAACACATACTGTAAAAGGAAACCGATTTTCCTGAATAATGAATAATAAGATGAAACTCTTCAAAAGAAGCTCGAGGCGTTGTTTACCTTAAAGAACCTTTTATTCGAGTAGCATAATATCGGCACTTACATATTCAAAGCCCAAAACTGAATTTCTCCCCCCACCCCATCCTTGGGCACATAGTATCAAAGCACAATTCCCTCCTCCAATTAACAGTAATATATCACATTCCCCAATTAGCTTGAAGCACGGGCTTCCTTTCCAGCTCTCCAGCCCGCCAATTCTTTTATCATCTCTGATTTCAACAACCTTGATTCTCACGCTAGACTCAGTGTTGTTATGTCTCTAGCTGGACTCTCGTTCACATCCCCCCCTCCTCCCAGCATCATCTAACTCTAAAAGCGAAAGGAAGAAAATGGCCACGTCTCCATCTGTTGTTTAATGCAGAAACATCCGATGTTAGCGGCGTTGACACCTGTCCAGAGTTTCCTGCTGTTTTTGAACTTTCTTCAAAAGAAGTGGCAACTGCTTTATTAATGGATGCAGAGCATATTAAAATGAGGACTTCCCCCCCCCTCAAAAAAAACCAACCCACAACCGTGTTGCTTTGGTATACTTCTTTTTTTACAGATCTCAGAAAAAAATGCCCAGGTTGCATGTCACCTATGAAGGGACGATTGAGAGCAACGGGCAAGGGATGCTCCAGGTAAGCATAGAATCCACACCTCTACCCATCAGTTCTGTGCTAGGTTGCGTCGAAGCTATCACACATCCCATCGCAACATTAGCATTCTCTGTTGGCTCAGCTTCCCGTCTTGAAAAAGCTTTTTGATTGACAGTCAGAAGACCTCGATGGAGCTTGTTTTTTTGTTGTTGTTTTTTCAGGTCAGGTGAAGACTGACAAGCATTAGAGGAAGGGGGTCCAGAGTAGGGGACTGACAGGCTGCCCGTTTTTCGATTTTTCCCCTTTTCAAACAAAAATAAAAATAAAAATTGAGAGCGGTATTGCTGTGCCCTGTCTGGTGACCAGCTCAGCAAGTTTAGGGAGATTCATCTGCTACGGGAGGAATCATTTTGACCTGAAAACCAGTCAGCCAGAACAGTTTGATAAGGAGTCTTGTCTCGTCCGTAATCCTGAGGCATTGTTTGCATATTTGCAAGCCAGAGAGAGAAGAATTTTGAAGTGTGTGTCTACACCTGTTGTTTGTTGTCTCCTACCTCAAACCCAAATAAACAAGTGTATCCTTTTATTTTCCTTAAACAGTTGGGCATGATCTATCCTATTCAGAGCAAAGTCAGTGAGTGGTGAAGATGCTGAACTTAAAGACTGGATAAATCGAGGTTCAACCCTAAAAACTCATTACAGACCAGCCACTTTATCTTGATGTATACCAGCGGTTCTCAACCTATGGGTCGCGACCCCATTTCGGGTCGATCGACCATTTCACAGGGGTCGCCAAGCAAGGCTGTCCGCCATTTATTTCCCCTTTTCTGGCGGGTGCCTTACCTCCCTTGGGCTGGGCCAGCTGGTGGTCGGCCTGCTCCGTCTCTGCCGCTTGCCAGCTACGCCTCGGCCGGCGCAGGGGGCGGAACCACGCATGCGCGGCGCTCCCGGGCAGGGAAAGTCCTCGACTTACGACCGGTTGGGTAGTCCTCGACTTATGACCGGTTTAGTCCTTGACTTACGACCGGTTTAGTCCTCGACTTACGACAGGTTGGGGGTCGCAGCATTAAAAAGGTTGAGAACCACTGATGTATACCATCGTTTCTCAACCTTGGCAACTTAAAAATACACGGACTTCTGAATTCTGGGATCTGAAGTCCACACATGGCAGAGATGCCAAGGCTGAGGAACATCGGTCTAAGCAAGTCTCGTGGGATTATTGTTATGGGGATAGCGTAGGAGCTTTTTCACGACAAACATCGTGAATCCTGAGAAAAAGGCAGGCTGTAAATGTAAGTCATGAACCACAAACAACGCCAATGAAATAAGCTTTGGATGAAGTTCGAAATTCTCCATCTGTAAAAGCACCACCGAGAGTTCTGTTTGTTTCTTTCTCAAGAGACAGCAGTCGTGTGATTAAGAAGATTGCGGATCACATATTCCGGAGTCAAAGAGGAGTAACTGAAATTAATGGCTTAGAAGAGCGAGGACATTTGTCTCGTATGCAGCCTCGTGAAAATACACTAGTTTCTCCAAATTGGAGAATATGCGTAAACGTATTGTTAATATAGTGCCAGAAAGTAGCTTGGTGCCAGTTTTTAGAGGCCACTTAACTAAATTGCTTCAGTGGCACATGATCATAAATTTGATTAAGAGCGTCTCAGAAAAGGGCCAGCCTTTTGTGCTCAAAACAACATTTTTTTTATGGGTTTTCAGTTTGATTAGCGTCTTTGGATATTGCTACGGTGTACAAAATAAATGTAGTTAATCAGTAGTATGTGCCCTTGCTGTTGATGGCGATGCTGTTCAGGAATGGCTGAAGGGAGGAGGGAAGATCTCTGAAGGCCTTCATGGCATGGATCCAGGCTACGTGAGGGACCGTCTCGCCCCGCTGGGATTGGCCCGTGCCAATTTGCCAACACAGGAGGCATGCTGCAGGTCCCGTCAGCCCAAGTATTCCGGCTGGCGGGATCCAGGAGGAAGGCCTTCCTGTTGCTCCTGCCCTCTGGAACATCCCCCCCCCAATGAGAGATTGGCCCCAACCCTCCCATTTTTTCCTAAGGGCCTAAAGACATCACTGTGGCAGTCAGCTTGGGTCTCCAGTGGGGGAACAGCACAATGGAGGGTGGTTGATTGAGTAATAACAGATCCCATCCTATGGTAAGATGGTTGGCCAGTAAATTTTATTTATTTACCTATCTATCCATCAATCAGATCAAATCTTTGGAGCAGGATGCTGTTACAACATTTTGCAGTTTCCTGCTTCTTTGGGCTTCTTCAGCTGTTTGTTTTTCATGCCTTAAGTCTCTTAAGGTTGGAAAAGTACTAACCGCAGGGTCCATTTTCCAGTTGAGCCCAGAAAACTGTCCACTGTGTGTGTGTGTGTGTGTGTTTTGCTTGAAATATAAGACAATTTTCCAGTAATGTATATATTTTTTTAAATTTAAATATGCATTAACATCAACATGGCTTTTGGTCGTGTTGCTCGTTGATCGTGAAGCATTCAAGAACTGTAGCCCTGGGACGAGGAATGAAAAATACGTCCAGATGCATTGTTGTACTTTTATAAATTTACTTTTGACTACAATCCAGAACATTTCCACCTGAGAGCTGTGATTGTCAGTCCTGTTTCAGCTTGCCGGCGTTCTGATCCTGAATAAACAAAGCAAATTGCCTTGCTAGGGCATAGTGTAGTTAGACTAAATATTTAAAAGATGATATTGGTTTTTAATTGTTTGGTATTTTGGTTTGACACGTTTGGTATTTTGAGCAACGCTTCAGAGGCCAGCTTTTGCCCCATTTGTATCGTAGCCTTTGGCATTTTTAAGCATGTTTGCATAGCTCAAAAATACAGTTTAAGAAACTCAGAATGAACGTTAAGATAGCCTTGTCCGATGAACAGAATAAAGTCAAGTTGCTTAAAAGTGTGTGATCAGAATCCACCACACAACTGTCAACCATGAGAGATGGCATTCCTATTCGTTTGGGGCTTTATTGAAGCCAAATATTGAGAATTTAATGCTCGACGTGTCTTGTCAGGTTGACTTTGCCAACCGCTTTGTCGGAGGGGGCGTCACTGGCGCAGGATTGGTGCAAGAAGAGATCCGCTTCTTAATCAATCCAGAATTGATTGTCTCTCGTCTCGTGACGGAGGTCCTGGATCACAACGAGTGTCTGATCATCACGGGTGAGTAACTGCCTTGAGATTAATCCCTGTGGATTCCAAAACTCAACTGTGATTCAGAGAATGGTAAACAAAGAATGAGTCAAGATTGGCCCTGCTCTAGAATCGAGATGATAGAACAAGATCTGGAATAGTCTTTATTGGAGGGCTCCTTGGTGCTTTCTGAGCTTGCTTGAAGATGTTTCATCACCCAACTAGGTAACATCATCAGTGCTAGTCTAGTTTTATGCAAAAAAAACAGCCGAGCTCAGAGGCCGCCAACAACCTCTCATTTCAACCCTGAGCTGCAAATATTAGTCTTCGTTGTGTTGCAAAGAACGAAGGCCCTCACCTGTTATTTTTCCTCTGTTCTACTCTTCCTTAGTCATATTTTTCATAGTTAACCAGCTTTTCCTTTCCACAATCAGAGGAACATTTAAAAAGAGCAGTTGTCTAGATTCACAGTTCACCTTGAGGATGTTGACGCTGTTATTTCCCTTATTTTTCCCCACCCCCATCTTTAGTTTGGGTCTTGAGGGCATTCTTGGTCATTCATAGAATTTCTGGTCCTTCTGTCATTTCTGGGAACGCTTCTTTAAGACCGTCCAGTCAATCCATGAGTCCTAGAAGAGAAATTATCTATCGATTGGACAAAAATCGATAGCTTATCCCGAATGATGACAGAAACGGATGGTTTCTCGGTTTAGAAGAACAAAATTCTGCAATGTTTAAGCGGGACCATTCCTGTTGTCAATGCTCCTAACATCGACAACATATGGAGATGCAGCTTTCTTCTTTCTCATGCTTTACTCTTAGAATTAGATGATACTGGAGGAGGAAGAGGAGGAATGTGATGGGAGTTAGTTAGATATAACAATATTGTAATAGTGTGTGAACTCAGGGCTTTTGAAATAGGAGATGATAAGAAATGGCAGGATGGAGTAATGGAGGGGAAGTCTGCATTTCAAACTAATTGGAGAATGTGATTTATGAGTGTAAATTAGAGGAGGGAATTGTGCTTTGATACTATGTGCTCAGGGGAGGGGAATCCAGTTTTTGGCTTCAACTATGTACGTACCGAAGCGATGCTACTCCAATAAAGATTCTTTAAGGTAAACAATGCCTCGAAGTTCTTTGAAGAGTTTCACCTGTCGTATTTTGCAGCTTTTAGTCTCTGATGCATACGGCGATTTAATTTTGAAGATCAATTTACAAAATGGAATGTCATTTCCCCTGGTTTGGTAAGGCCCTGTGGTTTTTAATAGAGTATATCACAGGGATTTTTTTTCCCTACGCGAGCGATTGAATAATATGACAATCTTTCAAAACACTCTAACACTTACTTTAAGTGGATTCGTGGCTCTGAGGTTTTTGCAGGAAATTTGCAGAAAGATGTTTTCAGGAACAGCTAAATAACCCTCATAGAGATGCCTTGATTTGATTGGAAAATAAATGCCATTTTTAAAGAGATTTGCAAATTAGTTTGAAGAAGTTAAACAGAAAATGGAAAACTGAGGTGAGAAATGAATCAGTTGCTCTTACATTGATTTGAAAATACTGTTAATAGGGAGAGGGGTAAGATAAATGAACCCATTGCCCTTAGATTGGTTTTAAAATGTTGCTTAAACGTAAGTAAAATTGATAGGCTTTACAGGACCCAAACGACAATGGTTGTGTGAGTTGAGAGTATTTTATAATTATAATTTTCATCATTAATCTGTATGAAGAAATTTCCCAATGGGAAGTGAAGTTAATTTTAGACTGAGGTAACTAACCCAGGGAACAACTACTAGATCTTTATGAGTTGTTTACTAAATGTCAGCATGGTTTGCATATTGAGACCTGATGATCCTGCAAAGCTTGGTGGAAAGAGATAAAAAAATTCTTATGGGTAAATCAAACCATTTCTGGATCTTGCATCCAAAAACATGAAGCTTCTGCAGCTAAGATGCAAATCAAAGTAAAATGCTTTTTCAAAGTCATTAGTTATCCTGTTGCTTTCTAATTAATATCTGTGATGCAGTCTCCTACTTTCTTAATGGAAAACGCCATTTCATCATCTTCAATAGATCTTTGGCTGGCTTCCACCTCTCTGCTTAAGCCGTTTTTTGCTGTGTGCAGCTATCTGTCTGATAGATTTCATTTTTTCCCCAATGATGCATCTTGACTCAGTGACTTAATGGATAGGGCCGTGCTGCTGAAATTTGCAGAAGAGACTTGAGAAATTGCAAATAAATTAGATTTGTTGCAATTGACCAGCGTCTGCTTGAGATCATCCCACTAACAGATATGAGGTCAGTCATGCAGAAAACACACCAATGAATCAAAAGAATCTTAAGATTAAATAATTGTACTCTGAGATGTTTTGTTTCTTTGGCTTTGATAGCTGCAGACGGAATGTGAAAATCAATAAATCGGAGTGCTTCGTTTATGTAACTCTAACACGGAAAATTAATACAATGTGAACCTTTTATGAATATGGTGGATTTCCAGTGGGTGTTTTTCCTATGTAGAATCAGCCTATGCAGCTGGCTATGACAGCTGAGGAGATTGGGAAAATGTTGTTCTACTTTAACAGCTCAAAAAGAGGTGTCCTATATGTCTTTCTGAACATCCCTCTGCATTAACAGAAGGATAGAATCAAGATCAGGTGGAGTGTTAATACCACTTTACAAGGCCTTGGTAAGGCCACACTTGGAATACTGCATCCAGTTTTGGTCATCATGATGTAAAAAGGTGTTGAGACTCTAGAAAGAGTACAGAGAAGAGCAACAAAGATGATTAGGGGACTGGAGGCTAAAGCATATAAGGAACAGTTGCTGGAATTGGGGATGTCCAGTTTAACGAAGAGAAGGACGAGGGGGGACATGATAGCAGTCTTCCAATATCTCAGGGGCTGCCCCAAAGAAGAGGGAGTCAAGCTATTCTCCAAGGTGCCTGAAGGCAGGACAAGAAGCAACGGATGGAAACTAATCAAGGAGAGAAGCAACCTAGAACTAAGGAGAAACTTCCTGACAGTGAGAACAATTAACCAGTGGAACAACCTGCCTCCAGAAGCGGTGAATGCTCCAACACTGGAAGTTTTTAAGAAGAGACTGGACAGCCATTTGTCCGAAATGGTATAGGGTTTCCTGCCTGAGCAGGGGGTTGGACTCGATGACCTCCAAGGTCCCTTCCAACATCATCATCATCATCATCATCATCATCATCATCATCATCATCATCATCATTATTATTTCCAAAGACACCTTTCAAACAATTTGCTGAGTCCATGCATAGGACCCAAATGCATTTCCTGGGAGGGGGGCCAGGAAGAGAAACTCAGTGTGCTTAAACCATCTTGTGTGGATTTAAATAATTCTTTCTAGGTACTCTTGACGAGGGAATTCTGGGAGTTGAAGTCCACACATCTTTTAAATTGCAAAGTTGAGAACCGCTGATTTAGAATATACTACATTTCCTGGGGAGAGAGGACGGATCTTTTCCCTTTGAATTGATCTTTCTGGTCTTCTGTGCTTCTGTCTTTTTTAGTATCCCACCCAGGTTACATTTGAGTTAATAATTCTTCTCCTTCCTCCCCACTGCTGGCCTCGAACATTGAGAAAAGCTGGATCCATGGTGAACGTCTGCAATGAATAAAGTAAAATGCTTGTCTGAAAATGAACCCTTTAATACCACGATTTCTTTATTTTATTATTCAGGGACTGAACAGTACAGTGAATATACTGGCTATGCAGAAACCTACCAGTGGGCCAGGAGCCATGAAGATGACACGCCCAGGTAAAATTCTGACCCTCCAAGTGAACTTTAAATAGTAAGATTGATATTGACATAATGTTGGGGGGGGGGATTCTTCAGAAATCCAGGCCATCGTTTCTTCCGAGCGGGACACCTCAATCTTTCCTCTTGGATTTCATTTCATTTCATTTCATTCCATTCATTCAATCCGTCAATGTCTATATCTTCCTCTTTCCGTCAATCACTCTGGGTGGCTTACAGCTGGAAAAAAATATATATATTACTAATAAAAATACTAAAAACATTTAAAAACAATAAAAATGCCCTGTATTTATTAGAAATAAATATGCAAACGATGGACCAAGACTCCATGGCTCCACTTGAAAGGTAGGGCTTCAGTGTAGAGCAAAGGAAAAGCTAAAGGAAAAAATAATAATTTATCCTTTGACTTGGATGTATGACCTTCCCGTTACGGTGATAATCTAGATAGCAACGTATTTTTAATGGGAGGAGGTTGACCATCCTTTGCAAACAATCAGACCCATGCTAGACTTCCTTAAGAGTGTGGCAGATTTGACATTCTTGTCACGAAATATACTTAGGAGACAAAACGTCCTGTCTTCTCCCCTCTCGTCTGCCTTCTCCAGTTTTAATACAGATTAGTGGTAATCTAGTTGAACGTTGCCTTTTCCTAATGCTTGTTTCTGTGCTCTGAGGCTTCAGTTAATCCCTTGAGAGATGAACTCAAGTCTGTCTTGTTTATATGACTGATCTTATACCAGTTAGCATAACAACATCCTCTCTCTCTCTTCCCTCTCTCTTCTCTCCCCCTTTGTCCCTCTCTCTCTCTTCTCTCTCTCTCCCCTTGTCCCTCTCTCTCTTCTCCTTTCTCCCCCTTCTCCCTCTCTTCTCTCTCCCCCTCTCCCCCCTCTCTTCTCTCTCTCCC